TATAATGTTTACTTGCAAGAATTCATATATGGTGCATTATGCATATGGTTTGAACTGCTTATTGTTTATTATAGAAATTATGATTTAAGAAATGTCACAAGTAATGTTATAGGTAAGTCATCACATGAATACATGCAAGGATGAATGTTAAGTGATGGGATTTCCGACTCCTAGTATTTAGATAGAGACGAAATTCTGGGAACCGTTGCTAATAGAAGAGGACAGAACGCAGGAAACCAATGACATCAGGGTGTTCTCTATAATTGTTATATTGAGAGAGGGTCCAACCTTTATCAATAGTTAATATAGTCTCCCGACTGGGTGACGACCAAAATGATATGAAATGACACAAAAATAGTTAATGCCCTTGCAATTATAAGTGACATTCTTATGATTAAATTGAGAATTATTATAAATATGCTTATGATTACACATAAATGGATGAAATACATGTTTTATATAATAGTCATAGTCATTGCATTATATCTTTTTTTATATGTTTTATACGATTATATACGTTAGGAAATGCGTTCTGGACATATGAATGAGTGACATATGAGCATGCACGATTATTTTTCATCTATAAAATCTTATTTTAGCATTTTTTAGTTTGTTGAGTTTGCTATAGCTCACTCTATGTTGTTGACTTTCAGGAAGGGATAAAGAACACCAGAGCGAGTAGCGATGCACGTTTATTTTCCTTCTATAAAATTTTATTTTAGCATTGATTATTTTGCAGTGACTTTCATAAGAGATAAGAAACCAAAGCGAGTAACGATGTGTGACGTGTATAACTTTTACAATGTATAGTTTTGGAGAATGTACAGACCTTTGGGTACATATTGTATTATGTTGAATTTAGTTGTTGTGTAAATTTATGTTTTTGTGATATAATTTTTTCACACTTCCAAGTATATGAATATGAAATGATATGCATTACGAACGGTTGAGACGATTTAGTTAAACTAGTTCATCACCCACGGGTCCTAATTTTGCAAATCAAGACAAATGCTAGTGAGAATTTAGTTTGACTAAATCATCAGCTTTTTTCGCAACGCAGTTGATCATATAAGGGAGGTCAATTGAGGTGTGACACTTACGGCCAATTGGAATGGTTCAGTTGGAAACCAGAGGGTCAACTGACACTCTTGGGTTGGGGAGTTGCCGCCCAAAAGGAGTGGACCATTCCTTTGTCGTCGAATAGTATTTATATATTCGTTTGTGTGTTTTAAGTTTAGTTTTGATTTAATTTTCTATCAAGATAGCAATTGGCGTCAAACTTTCATAGCCAAGTACTTGAGATGATTGAAGCCCACCATCAATAATGTGGTCCAACTGCAAACCTAGTGGGCACTGAGGGACGTGCAGACCTTAGCATTGAAAGTGAAAAGATAGGAAAAACAGTAGAGTTATCTGCCTCCATTTAGACAATCCCTTACAACCGGTGGCCCCACAGGAGTATGCCTGGAGGAGTGGGAAAGAATGGACAGAGAATTAACAAGGAAGAACGAAGTGGGAAAAAAGCTTGAGAAGAGCAACAAACTTGATACAGTTCTAGCCCAGAAATGCTTCTGATGCCACGGATATGGGCACATCGCCTTCAGTTGCCAGACAAGTCAGGATTTGTCTTCACAAAGCAGGGTGTCGTGAAGGAAGTGAGTGATAAGGAGGCAGCTAAAGAACAAGATGAAAAGTACTAGCTCCAGGGAGATGAGGGTTAGATACTCGTTGTGAGGAGAGTAATGCAGAATAAAACCCAGAAGGAGCACTCTTGATTGAGGCATAACATCTTCCACACCAGATGCACAAGCTAATAAATCCAAGAAGGTGACCTTCTAGGAGGGTAATCTAGTTTGGATCAAACTGAAGAAAGATTTTCACATGGATCACTCAGGAAACTCAAGCCCAGAGCAGACGAACTTTCAAAATCCTCAGGAAGTTAAATGACAACACTTACAAGGTTAAATTATGAGGGGATTACATCTCTGCTACCTTCAATGTAGCAAATTATACTCCATACTACGAGGACACAGAAGCTTTAACAAATGAGATCAAAACTCCTCCAATCTTAAGAGATTGACGCGAAAGCAAAGACTGGACCAACCAGTAGAGGGACCTAGCCCATTGGACTGGTCCAGTTGGAAACAGGAGGGACCAACCCTCTTGAGGTCAAGAGTTGTCACCCAAAAGGAGTGGACCACTCCTTTTTCGCCTAATAGTATTTATATGTTTTGAGTGTTCTAGATTTAGTTTTGATTCAATTTTATGTCAATACTGCCGTCAGGGTCAAGGATTCCCCTCCTATGGTTGTATTCAAAATCGTCTTGAGGTGGTATTTATCTGCCCTTCCCTACTTCCCAAACCATCATTCCAGCCACTCAACCTACTGTCATCCCTACCAGAATTGCTCTGTCGGCAGTCATGTTGTTGTCCACTCGTCGCCCATCCCTTCCGACAACCAAATTCTTAATGTCGCTTCTCTCCAGCCATGATTCTGCTGCTACCATCTTGGTGCAGCCCCACACCACAACTTTGTTGTCATCCACTTTCCAACCACCTAACAACCCCCTTTTATGCTTCCCCAACCTTTATCTTAGCCATCTGACCTGTTGCCATCCCTTTCAGAATTGTTCTGTCGACAATCTTGCTGTTGTCCAACCGCCGCCCATCCTTTCCAGCCATCGAATCCTTGTTGCAACTCCTCTTCAGCCACAATTCATCTACCATGAACCCACCACTGCCGCAGCCTTGTTGCAATCCCACGACATCACTTTGCTGCCATCCCCAACCTTCATCTTAGCCGTCTGACCTATTGCCATCCCTGCCAGAATTGTTCTGTCGACAATCTTGCTGTTGTCCAGCCGCCGCCCATCCTTTCCAGCCACCAAATCCTTGTTGCAACTCCACTTAAGCCACAATTCCTCTGCCATGAACCCACCATTGGCACAGCCTTGTTGAAATCCCATGACATAACTTTGCTGCCATCCATTTCCCCCCCCTTCACGTTCCCCAATTGTTGTCCCCCCTCCCCTTCATTCATATTCACTATTCCTCCTCCAATTGCACCACCACCTTCATCAAACCGTGCCCTATTTGGAGTTAGTATTGAGTTTCTATTGTTAGTTCCTATTTCGGTGCGTTGTAACCCCTTTTTTCTTTCCATGATAAAACTTGCAATTCTCATTATCGTTTGGTTAACTCTGGTATTAAGTAGTAACTAACGAATATAAAGGGAGAGCAAGACTATTCAAGGTGGAGCAAAGGTGAAACTAAATTAAAATAGGACAAATGGTGTTTAAGACGGAAGATGCAAGGATTGATCAAATAGAGATTGAATTCACCTTATTTGGATATGGCGCTCATGACAAGGTTGCCTTTGCTTAATTAAACTCAACCATCAGCTTTTGGCAAGCCTAAAAAGAATTAAACATCAAGACATAGTATGGGATAGTTTAATAGATTAATTCATAGTGAGTTTATCACATGGGTTGTTAAAAATTGATGAAAGAAATGATAGTTTGAGATAACGCCAAGGATAATTTGGGTAAGTGTACACATCAAAGTTTAAATGTCATATAATTTTAGAGTAAGCCCTACAGAGACAAACATTGATTAAGTAAATTTCAAGGCTTCATTGAAAACTTGCGAGTAAAATCTACCTATTTTTTATCCTAGATCTCAGCCAAACAAATAATAATGGCAATCACCGTAAAAAAATGAACAAAGACAAGAAGAAAACCAAGAACCATTAATAGAAAGGTTCTCTTTCTCCAAAAATAAGAATGGGTAAAAAAAAGAAAGAAAATACTCTTAAAGCTTGCCCCTTCTTCTAAAATTTGTACCTTTGAATATTTCTTTTAACAATTGCCGAATAACAAGCTACACAGAGGGAAAAAACTTAAAACATTGCCTCGAATTCTTAAAAAAAAAGATTGGAAATAAAAAATAAATATTGAAGTGGTGAAAACACTACATTGAATACTGTAAACAAGATAGACCCCATTTCTATCTATGATGGCTTGTTGAAGTAAATAGTGGTGAGGTCGTCTTCCAACATGTATACATGAGTTATTCAACTTAAGAATATAGATCAAACAAGATATGATTAGCATCATCATCAACACCAACAACAAAACGAATCTCATTTTGATAATCTGCTTAGAAATTAGGTTGTATATTATAACCCATCCAAACACTTTCATTTTTGTTGGATCCAAAAGAGTCTATCCAAAAATATTAATTGTTAGTACCAATTTAAATTTATGATCATAAATGACAACATAAACTATGTAATGTAGTTTCAACATTCATTAACATGATCATTAAAATTAAAACATTGCCATCCACAAATGTTAAAACATAAAAAACATCAATCGTGCCTATCAAAAGTTAACTTTAGATCCCTCGAGTGTGGGACCTACTTGTTAATGTTTTATACCCTACTTGCTAATCTTCTTCACCAAACTAATGCTAGTCAGTTATAGTTAGGCCTTGTAATCTTCCCCTTAAGACGTGTATATATCTTTCTATATTTCTCATGATGATTATTCCTAGTTCATACGATGCAAAAGATAAAATAATTCTATAGCCGTAGTCATTGATAAATGAGCAAAAATTTTTATGAGAAAGTTGTGCTAATATATTTCTAGGAGATATCCTTATTTTCTGTGTCATAGGAATGGCCAGCTCTTGAATAGGAAACTAGAATAGAGAGAATTTATTATCAACATTAAGGACAAGCAAAATTTGAGAGAATTTATCTACAGAAAAAGAAGTCAATTTAAGCACCTGTATTTCAATTCACAGGTCATTCCAAAAAAAGAATTTCCATAGCCTCATATCGGCTCTTGACAACATTAAGAGGTTAGCAACTGGATCAACTTAGGAATGCTTGATGTATACTTAACTCCTTTGCAGGAATCATGTTTTGCAATTGAAAGGATAAATAATAGCAGTTTATCAAATATCTTCAAAGCATAGCTTTAAAGAAATGAACGTACAATGGATGGCAACCAACTAGGATATGCAGCGATGCCAGCATTAGGAGCAATAACTAGTTGAGGACGAGCATCCTGCCAAGTACATTGCACCAGATCAAAAAGCATATAAGGTACAGGAGAGCACATATAATAACCAAGAGTATAGAAACATCAGTAAATAAAGCTAACCAAGCTTTCATATGATAAGCTATCTATGAAACGTTAAAAGCATCCCACAAAAATTTATTTATCAAAGTATAATAATATTAAACAAATGCAATTTATTTATTTATTTATTTTGCTTTTGCCCCTAAATTTATTGTAGCCAACCCAACTTAATTGTTAAGAAACAAGTCTTCTCTAGCTCCCATGGTTTCATTAGAGCAATACAATTCCTTATCATAATTTAATCAACCAGAGTTATTAAGACGCATTTGCTTTATGTAAGGCCAAAAAGAAAAAGATTTGTGTTTTAATCAAGTTTCAAAAGCTAGCATTGATTAGCACTAGGTGTTCTCTAGCTCCCATGGTTTCATTAGAGCAATACAATTCCTTATCATAATTTAATCAACCAGAGTTATTAAGACGCATTTGATTTATGTAAGGCCAAAAAGAAAAAGATTTGTGTTGTAATCAAGTTTCAAAAGCTAGCATTGATTAGCACTAGGTGTTTAAGCAAAAGGATCCGAATACTAATCAAACCTTTTGACATGGAGTGTCTCCTGCAAGTATACGGGACGCGACAGCATAGGGCTGCCAAGACCAGTCTGGACCGATGGATGCTTGAACCAGCTCAGATGGATGAAAAGGAGGAGCCGGCTAGCCCTCCTAGAGGTTTAGGGCTGCCACCCAAGAGGGCAGCCCCATCATATTACCTAGTACTATGTATATTATTTTCTTTGTGTTTAGGGTTAGTTTTCTTCATATTTTCTATTAGGACAGTCGTCGGAGTCCAGATTTTCCCTTTTAGGGTTGTATTTGATGACGAGTGGTGCTCTGATTGTATCTAATCTGAGATGAGGATTATCCTAAACCTTCCCACATCCTCCACAATCTTCTCTCCACTACCTCCATCACCATACTCGTTGCAGCCAACTCATTGATTTACTGCAGTTGCCTACCACCCAGCCTCCCCCCTTTTTGTTGTGTCTCATGTAGCCTCAATGTCAGCCTTCCCCTTCCCAGCTGTACACCAGCCGCCAGCCACCTCCCTTCCCTGCTATAGCCCAACTGCCAACCATCTCCCTTCCCAGTTGCAGCCTTACCACCAGCCTTCTTCCATGTCACAGCATAGTCGCCAACCCTATATATATGTCAACTTGCCAATTGTGGAGTTAGCAACAATTCAACACAAATTTTATCCATTGCAAATAAAGAGTATATTTCTTTTTATATTATATGTATTAAAACATTTAAACTCCATTTTGAAGAACAAAGACAATATATATTAAACAAGTGCTTAATGGAATCCTTCGGGCTAAATCAAGGTTGAATAAATGACTAAACAAATGATACAAACTTAGATTGATTTCAGCCTAATTAGGTTGGTTTTAGATACATAGACTCATTTATAATGCTTGAGCTACAAATCAGAGCAACTCAACTAAATAGATTGTTTAGGATTTTACCTGAGAACAAATTGCACTTGTTTGATCCAATCAAGCTCTTTTTGCTTCTTTCAAGTTTCAAGAACAAAATAGGCATATTTGGGTCAATCAAATTATGCGATCGATACGGACCAAAATGGAGGATTTTATTGAGTTCAACCAAAACAAAATTTATTTTATTCACTTTGAAGGATTTTATTGATACCACCATCGTCTTAAAGATAGATGCAGACTACTAAATTTAATTAGGTTAAAAAAAAATAGTACAAGCCTTGTTTCATTAAAATAGTTCGTTTAAGCGAAAAGTGTCAAAATGGTCCTCGGACGCTTTGTTGGGGGTCATTTCAGTCTAGAATTCGATAAAAATATCAATTTAATCCCCAAACTCTTTTAAATGAGATTAAATAAGTCCTCTCTGAGGACTATTCAGCCCATATTAAGAGTCTAAGGATTAAATTGACATTTTTATAGACAATGGAACAAAAATGGCTCCATGTAAATAGTCAAGAGACTATTTAGGCACTCTACTCATTAATTTAAGTTCATCTAGACTAATTAGAGTGGTCCACGTATACCAAGCAAATTTAGGTCTACTTGTGAGGTTCTAAGATGTTATCAACACCATCATCATCATCATTAACCTTATGACTACTCCTTTTGTAATTTAATTAGATTAAATTTTGTCTAAGATATCTAATCTCGCGACCTGACTTGTTGCTTGGAATTAACTAAAGTGGATACTGCGGTCAAACATTTTTAGCAACTATCCACATTTTTAAAGATTCCAATATATATAAAAAAGTTGTTAATAATCCACGGATACAATAAAAAAATTTAAAATTCAACAGTAACAGAAAATCTGCAAGTAAAATCTCAATCCTCACAACAGTATATATCTACCCAAAAGAAATAGTACAAAAAAAAATCACAAATATATCATACTAGTATCTATCAGTTGCAGTCATGTTCCTGTAAATCAAGTATTTCCTACCAGACATATCAACCTAAAACTTTTCTTCTCCTAAAAGAAAATATTAATTGCAACCGTAAGCTATGACTTAGTGAGTAACTATAATCTACTATGCATTAAATTATGATACTTATGTTTTGCAAAAATGACAAAAAAAATGCAACTCCTTTCTTTATAAAACCTTAAATTTTCACTTTAAACTTTATTCTCTCCCATTTCACTTTAAGAAATTACCATTTTAATTTTTTTAATAGTCATCACAAAATTACTGTCATACCTGAATATATCCTTAAAAATGTCCAAAGACACCCTCAAAATCGTACCCAAATATACCCTCAAATTGTACCTAAAGATACACTTCTACCATTTCTTTTAACGTGCACAGGTACATTACATCTCCTATTAGTACCACCTGGAGGTAATCTTATATGCCTTAAACATTTAAATTTAATTTCATATGATTTAAAATCATTTAAATTGTATCTTCATATGTCTATTAGTTACCTCACATTTATGATATCATATGAGACTTTCAAAATGTCAGACATTAATACTTGTTTTTAACCATTTAATAAACATTTATTCATTTAATAAAATAATAATTTAATGCATAAAAGAGAATAATCACTCACATTAACTTACAAGAGACTTATGAATTAGCTTAACCCTTCGCTTTATTGTACTTCCATTAGCAATTTGATCTCGCTATCATACTTTAATTCAGATGTTTGATAACTTAATGTTACTAAGTTAATTCATTCATATTATTAAAATGAAATTAACAACACCACTAATTAACTAATTTATATAATCAAGACATAAAACTTCTAAATTTTTACCTTATCTCACTTGAATTTCTTGCTTTATTTCTTCCTCAATTCCCATAAACTTATTACCTTTTAATTCCTAGTTAAAAGTTCGTCGATAAAAGACGTAACTTTAATTTGAGTTCTTATTAATAATGTGTAAATAACACACACACATAATTAATTTAATAAAACTTAACATTAATGACTCTTCCTTTTCTCGCACAAGGAAATCTGGTCACCCACCTCTCCTTAAAATTGCAACTTACTAGTTTCTATCCTAATACAATTACGCTTTTTGTTAACATTAATTAAATAATATCACACTCATAAATATACATATATATTTAATTAATGTAATTAATTAAAATAAATTTATAAAATTCACCTTGACAATATTTGTTAATCCTACTCAACTCACACACGCGCGCTCTCTTCCTTTACCTCCCTTCGGTCTCGGCTAAACTCAACAGAGCAATGCACTGCTTCAACTCTCCTTCTCTTCTTCCTACACGCGAGCACCGCAGTTCACATCTCCTCCTTTCTTCTCGTCTGCACGGCTCAACAGCTCCAACGTGCATAGAGTTCACTTTCGACACTTTTTTCTTTGACCACGAGCACGACGCTAAATTTCGGTAAGTGGAGCATACGAGAATCACCTCCTTCGGGTAGGACTCAACACGACCATAACGTCGCATGCGCCCAATGTCGAAGTCGCTCAACTATCTTCCTTCCTCTGTATCTTCTTCATATGACTTCTTCACTCAATCAAAGCATGACAGAGGCGTCGTACATTCTCTTCCTCTTATTTCTTCTTCTTTCATTAGATTAGGGCACTCCGATCTCATTGTTCTCCCCTCGCTCATTCGATGTTTCGAATGAAGAGACAATCAAACTATAGCAATATATTTCATCTGAGGGATTGCACCTCTCTAATCGCCTGCACCTTTTTATTTATTCATTATTATATTTATTATTTTTTTCTGTTATTACATTTAATATATTCTTCAAAATTAAGCTTTAATAATTTCTATGTAATATTAGGTCTACACAATTTTTCCTTCATAATACTCTCACATTAATTTTATCAATATATCTAAACATTGCATTTTCTAGCTTTCGTTATGCATATCCAAATCACCACGATCTATTTTCAATGGCATTATATTCAATAAATGCCACCACAACATTTTTTTTAAAATCATTTATTAAACTATAGTTTCTAATTTTGCCATAACCATACTAACATTATCTACTTTATAACACTACACTCAATCATAAATGAATATTTATAGCCTAACATTACGATCAATGAAACATTGCTCACAAATTGTGATTTTAGAAAAAATATCATTAAGCCTCTTTGATATTCTCTGATCATATAAACTCTCCGTACATTTTATTAATTCAAAATATTATATTTTCATTTTATTTACAACAAATAAAAGGTATTTAAACCAATCACACCAAAGATTTTTTTTTTGTGTGAATCAGAAATCTCTATGTGAAATATACATGTTTTTGGTACAAACAGTACAAATAGCAGCATATTTATAAGTTTTAGTACCATTGGATAGGTTCGGTGTTCCATTGCTAGAAATAGAGTCAATTCACAAAATTCACCTTTTTTTCAATTGAGCTCCTAAAAGCACTAAAGTAGCAACTGTGCAACTACTTCTTTAGGAATGACTCCAATACTAGATGGTTAGTTAAGGTATGTGACTCATAGAAATATAGAGGCTGCTTAATGTTCTCATTTGAGGGCCGATAAACAATGAGCATCAACGGCAGCAAAAGGCAGATGAAAATTCAAGCACTAAATAAAAAAATGTACATTGGTGTTGAATATTAATAAAATTCCATTATATAAATTCCACTCAATAGACGGCCTTGCACTACAAAATGTAAGGCAGGCTTTGGCTAGTGATCTATTGTTACCATATTAACCAAACTTGATTGAGGGCTATTGGGAACAAATAGTGTCCGTGAAAAGGATGGGATTTAAATTGGCAAAGTACAAGCAGAGATTGCGGTTAGAGTAGACGAAAAAGGCAATGAAATTAGTAATGTTTCAAAGAAAAAGATGGCAAAATCAGTTAGGCCAAGAATGATGTTGAGTACTATAGAACTGTCCCTGAGGTCAACGACTAAAAGTGAGTCATTGGGCTCAAAAGCGTTAATGTGTAAGGATAGCAAGAGAACAATCATAAAAAGAATCAGTAATGACTCGCTCAATCAAAGCACTTCCATCTACTTTCAAAGGGTGTTCCTTACTTTCACTATTTTTCTATTTTCAATGACTTCATTTCTTACATTGGATTTCTTCCTGGCTATAAGTTACTTTTTTTCACAAACGAGAAAGATTTTTCGAGAATATTATCTTTATTTATGACAACGTCAAACTCTCAAAGGGCTTGTTAGCATAAAAAAAAAGTAGAAAACAAAATTTAGAATACACAAAAGTTTAAAATTGACGCTCTTACAAGCATATCATGACTTGCAGGCAAGAAAGGTAGTGAAACACATTGGCAACGGCATAATAGGATGTTACATAACTAGGAGCCATAAAAAAAGTACGAGCTATCCAGTTGCATAAACATGAGATGCCATTTTATTTGCACCCCGACATAGGGATCATTGAAAAATTCATAATGATGTAACTATTAAAGTATAAATTGAAAAGAAAATATGATCTCTCCCTTGAAACCCCACCCAATCCCTCCCGTCCTCCCCCTCCCCCTCGAGGGAACACACTCTCCTTTCTTCCCTTATCTACACTCAGTTCTTCCATCCTCATCTTCACTCTATTTCTATATTTCATGATGAATCACTTTCAGCCATTATTCTTTGCTTCTCTCTTTCAATTTACCCTTCTTTCTAAGTTTCCTCCTTAAGCAAGTCAAGCAGTCCCCTCTCTACTTTTAAGATAATGAGGCATATGAGATAATTAAAACAAATAAATTAGAGAATAAAATTAAGTAATACATTCCTTCTTTTTTTTTCTATCTCCTTTTAAACAAAACACCATTACCGTAATTTTTTTATGGTCCATGATGCATTATAAGTAGATCTACCTTTAGCATCACTGCAAAATTTAAGCACGTTATGTCATAAAGTTTATCCTTGTTTGTGTATGTTTCCTTTTTTTTTTTTTTTTTTTTGTTTCAGCTCATATAAGTATTCTAGCTCTTGCATCCTATGTGTCTGAGTTAGCAGTGGGGTGGGAGTGGGGGTAGGCGCGACAAGATACGAGAGACAAATATAAGAATAAGAGATAAAGTAGCAAACACAAAAAAAATTACCATATATCTAAATTTGTCATGATAGAATCCATTATGAAGCTTCAATGTCACTACTGAATTTGTATGAATGGATCTCTCTTGACACGAAGATTTGCAAGAACAACTTCCATCAGAACACTGTACATATGTGTCGATTTTCATTGTCTCCCCATCTCTATCACCAAAAAAAAGAAGAGTTACAAAGTAAAAATCAGTTTAGCATAAATAATATTAAAAGAAAACGTATAGTGGTGTGGTTATGCCTCAATTTTTTAGTCACATAAACAATTTGCAAGATAAAGTTAATTCAAAAGATGCCCAGAAACAATTTATCACGCATATGTTTGAACATGTAAAAATAAAGATAATAGAAAAAAATTCCATTATCGATTAACAACATTAGTTAAAAAATAAAAAAAGAACTAAAGAATGCTTTTGCAAATTAGTTCCAAGTTAGAACAACCTAGCCTGTGGAACACCTGGGCCGAAAAATTCTATGTTCAGCTGAACACATGGTAGAAGTGCCCTTAGCTCCCCAAATACCGCAAGTTGTAAAAGCTCTTTCTCAGGCCCTTCAAATAATAGTATCATACCGAGCAATTCATGAAATTTGGAACAAGGAAATAGAATAAGACGATTCTTCAAAACTAATATATCACAAAAAAGACTCCTGAACATATTACAAACAAATGCAATAAAAGAAACATAAAAAGATATCTTTCTTTTCTTATCTTTTTAAAACAATGATGAAATAACGATATATAAGCCATCCTTGGAACTGTGCAAAAACTCTTAGAAATGGTTAATGTTGGGGGTAGTTGTAAACTTCTTAATAAATAATCAATAGGAAATTATGAATTTCATTTACAGCTGCATGATTGTTTTTTGTTTCGACAACTGCATAGACAAGGAAGATTAGGCACTAGCAAATTATGTTCTGAAGACTTACAGATTCCATTCCGTCAAGAAGAGAAGTTTAGCATATATTACTAAAAAAATTTCATATAATTGACCAGCTTGCAAATGTATTGATAGACTTGAGCTTTGTTTGAAATATAGGAAGACAAGTAGCATTTCCTGATCATTTTATTCAAAATCAAAAATTGTACTATGGCAAATTGCAGAAATTTTCTTCAACTCAAAGACTGATTCCATGATACAAATGGAATGAATGTTTATACAAGATGAGCTTACTCGTTTGAAGGAAATAATTTCAATTCTAATCCTCCTGTTATAGCACAACTAATTTACAAAGAAGTAACTTATTTCATTGTTATCTCGATCACAAGAGCACTAATTCATGGCATCCTTCTTTCATGGGTGAAACCAATTCATGAGAGCCTTATTTCCGTATGCATATAAGTCATAATTACAAGCACGTGATTTCCTCCCGATTTCAACACATAAATCAACTGCTTGTTTGTTCCTTCCTGTTTTAGCTGCCTACAATCTCCTAAAATGCATTTTTTTAAATCTTACTGCTTAGAATTTTATCCACATTCTCCAACACTCCCTTCTAAGCTAGATGATGGAGATCTATTATCCCCATCTAGTTTAGAATGTTCCTATGATTAATATTAAATAGTTTATATATATATATATATATAAAGTCAGCAAGTTGGTAATTTATTCGGACATAGAAGTGCAAAATATTTCACTCCCAAGTGTTTTTTTTTTTTAATGTTTCTCCACTTATACGTGTTTGGTGTGAACATGTTGGGCTAGATTAAGAACAATGCTAAAACAGATGTATTATCACAAATAACATTGTAAGTCTTTCACACTTGATGAACGAGTTTTGCAAAGCAATTATGTAGGCATAGAAGTTCACCTATTCCTTATGGAATGGCTCTAAACAGAAATTCTACACTTGACCTTGAAGCCACTAGTTATCCTTACTTTACAGTGTTGCCTTTAAGAAAGGTACAATATAATAAGGTCAATCTTCAATCAACAAAAGATCCAATATAATCAGCATTTAGGTAGCTTTCTAGTCTGACACTTTCATCTTTTTCTTGCAGAATGTCCCCTTTCAAAGATTCATTTCAAATAATTGAGAATCATGTACACAGCTTGGAGATGAGATTCCTTCAGCTTGTGCATAAATCGACTTATTATGCTTTTACAGCAAGTGTTCTTTAAGGCTGAGTATGTGACAAATAGATCAATCTTTTGACTTGTTTTTAGTATTTAGCAATGTCAACTTTGATCTCTTCTTCATCAGCAATTAATTTCCAACCTAACTTTGTTGGGATTTCAGAAGGCTTACAATCTATCGAACTTTTTCTCTCAAAAAAACTATAAATATTTTTTTTGACAAAAAAAAAAAAAACTCCTCAAGTCAAATAACATCCACCCTTAATAACATCTTTCTTCATTTTTTAATTTCATCTCAATTACATCAATATAACAATTAAGTATTGTGACCCCTTAGTGACTTGGTGTTTTATGAAAAGTGTATGATCACCTTGATATTATTGGAATATAAAGACAAGCATAAAATAAGTGTTTTTTTCCTTCAGAAGTAAAAGAAATATGAATGCAACTTCAAAGTAAAAAAGCCACTAAAATTTTACCAAACAAAGCCTGCCAACAACGAGGAACTCTTCCAAGGAATTTGTGTGTGAGCAAGTGTGGAGTTTTTTTCTTTTTTTTTAAAGTATTTTATTTTAATAAGTTATTTTTACAAATATTTTTTTTTGGATCTCTAAGTATGGTTTGTTGTTCTAAATTGTATATTGTTTCTCAGTATATTTCAAAATTCCCTTTTCCAATAAAACAATTTTCAAGCCATCATTAATGCCACGTAATACAAATTAAGGAGCATCCTCTTCTGACAAAGCATTTCTAATGCCTCCCATATGAAAAAAATCATGCATCAATCAATCTGCCTTGATATGGGATTCAATGATTGATCTTGGTTGTACAATTTTTCAATTGTTCAAGAGATATGGGCTGCACATTCTTCATCAACGTGCCTGCCAATTTCATTATGATATTCTTTGTATCTTCTGCAAGAACATGATTATTAATGAGAATTACGATTGTATCACATCCCACTTAAGTGATATTGAATTAGTTGTCAATAATGATGATCTCGGTCTATCGGTCTATTGTTTGATCCTTCTTCCAATGGTCCATCCATTTGGGCAATTGAAAAATCACTTGAACAAAAATGATAAATAATCCTCATCAAATCCCTTAACTTGATCACAATCCTAAACTTAATACTTTGTCCATTGAAGAAGTTTATGTTTGAGATATTCTTCATCATTCTATCCTACATAAGTCAGGATTTAAAAAAAAAAACTCAATCATGCCCCCTTGTAGTTGATTATATTCTCATCAAAGTTGAGTTTTTGTTAGTGCCTTTTCGCCATCATGAGAATGTTTAGTAACTCCAAAATTTAATCACTAACAATCTAAATTTTGGCCACATTATTGAGTTTATCTTAAAGTTAAAATAACCTTATATGAACCCCTAGACTTTTCCAATATATCACTATCTTCATCAATTGTATCCATATAAAAAGATTTATCATCCTATCCATCATTATTCATTCAAATATACATCCATACAAGGCCATTTGGACGACATCTCCAAGTTGATTCGTCATATCAATTACCATTAAGAATGGATGATACAGTACTAGTCTAGAAATATGCGGCCCTAGTAACCTTCTTACATACTCGAACACGGTGATGTTAAGGAGGAAAATTGATTTTCTTTAGTGTTTTATATTTGTGGCTATTAAGTTTTGTACTTTTGAACAGTTTATTGTCATTTAGTACTACGGATGTACACACCCTATTTTTCTCAAGGGCAAAAGAGGAAAAATATTATGGGGCGATTATGTTATTATATGATATTATCATAATGCTATATTTAATATTTATGTGATATTTCTTTCTACACATTGTATATTCTACACCTGTAAATTTAATTGCAAGATTTCTTTTTATACATGCAATATCTCAAGAAATATTATTTTAACATTAGCCTTATTATGTATCATTTTCAAGTAGTTTTATCATCATCAAAAAGAATGAGATTGTTGTGTGTGTGTGTGTGTGTGTGTGTGTGTGTGTGTGTGCGTGCGCGAGTGTGTGCGTACATGTATGTGTGTGTATACCCATATGCCCATGTGAGCGAGCGTGCATGGAAAATTATTCTTTTTTATACAAGTTAAATCAAAAATTATCTTTTTATGTATGTGTCTTTCTATATGTTTATTCCATGATTATTTTAAACTTATTATAAAGTTTTAAAGTTGATCTAAATCATTTGAAGTGTGATACAATCATAATTTGCTAAAAATTTTGAATAAAATCATTAAAAAATGTTAAACTTCTATAACCGGGAATTATGGTGTTTTCATTTTGGGTCTACGGTTCTCAGTAAATATAAGTGTCACTTTATAAGCTGATAGAGCATTGGACTTATGACTTGAGTTATTAGCAGGCCGTCATTAACCCCTTTACCGATTTTACTAAAACTTTGAGGGATATTGCAGACTTATTTTGTTAGGTGATGGATATGCTCAACTAGTCATTTATGATTAATCAAGTTTCACATTGGGCTCCACCAAGCCACTTAGCATAGTTCCAAATGGCTCCTAGAGACACTTTATGTATACTACAACCATATTAATCTACGGTCACAAAACTCAAATCTACATATAATACTTTAGAGTTTACGTTGCAAAATCCCTTCCATGAACTAACAATCAGGAAAGCTTGGCTTGCTTTGTAACTTGGCTTCAAATTCTAGTTCGCTCTTCAAGTTCCTAAAGCATCCAAGAACATTAAGTGATATTGTTTCAACACTTGTATTTTACTTTTTTTTTTTTAGTTTTTCCTATGAAAATTTTTATTAATAGTATGGAGAAATTTTAGAGGTGGTGTTCTTGCTCATAAATAAAGTGAGGTTCAAATTCCTCTCTAAACAAGTGTTGTAAGGATTTCTTTGCCCGTAGCTTGCAAAGGTGTTATCTACTTAAGTAGCAGAGTCGTAAGTGTGAAAAACATTTAGATGTGGATGAAAAATACATTAACTCGAACCATATAAAAATCATTGTCGCTTATTTTCATTTTTGCGGTTCATTTTGAATATTATTCTGTGACATTAGTTAGAGTACATATAATTATTTCAATAAAACATACAATAATTTACTTGTAAATGAATTATTAACTTAACCAATTCAATCCCCACCCTACAAAGCAATCTACACACCACCATGCTTCTTTTTCTTCAATGTTGTCTCCTTACACAATTATGTTAACAGTAAGTGCTACAACCCTATTATCAGTTGAGTGTTTTAAAAGAAGCGTATGATTTCCTTGGTTTGATACCCCATTTTGAGCATTACTTTGGTGAATCTATTGAAATAAACCCTTGGTGAATTTGTTATGCTATAAAAAGTCTACTTTAATATGTATATTTAATTAATTGAAAAAAATTCACTAAATCCTTGTGGCTTGTCCATATAAAATTCTTCAATGTCACCATATTAGAAAGCACTTTAACATAATGCTCTTGCATGCATAATTTATCAACAATTAACAGCCAGAG